CTCATTTGAATATTTTTTTGTGCCTAAGTCTTGCCTTGTGCATCCATGATAGGGCTGACTTCAAACTATAATCCTCAGATTTCAGCCTTCTGAGCATTACAGAAGTGTGTGAGCCAATCATGTCTAGCTAAAATATAAATTTGGAAATGTACTAAAAGTACAATTATAAAACAGATCAAGCCCAATGCTGGTGTCTCACACCTGTAATCCATGCTACTCAGGAGGCCGAGATCTGAGGATTGTGGTTCAAAACCAGCCAGGGGCAGGACTCTGATCTCCAATTAATCACCAGAAAACTGGAAGTGGCATTGCGGCTCAAGTGATGGAGTACTTGCCTTGAGCTGAAGAGCACAGGGACAGCATCCAGGCCCATCATTCAAGCCCCACAACTAATTAAAAAAATAGGGGAAAAACAAAAGAGGGGATAACAGTGCTCTATAAGAAATGTACTCATTACCTTCCTCCTATAACTGCAACCCCTCTGTACAGTATCTTTACAATAAAAAATATTTTTAAAAAACACACAGATCATTAATAGTAGTTATGTTGCATTGTTTTTCTTTTTGTTCCTTTTATCCTGCCATATTATCTCTATTAATAATGAAAGTAAAAATAACCATCTTAAATAAATAATTATTTTTTTCCATGCATTGAATGACTTTAATCTTGGAATATAGTTAGGCAGAGGGCAAAGTTTATATTGGAGATGTTCATGACAAAGCATCAAAATTAACAAGTAAGTTTAGCTATATATATTTATATATTTGTAAAGTATATATTAATACTATATATATTAGACATTTTTATTTGGAAAAAGATGTATTGTTATCACTGATGAATGTAGTATTTAGCAGCAAACCCACTGATGGTCTAACTTTAATAGCTAATGAGTTTTCCATGTCTAAGTTTTTTTTGTTGTTTGATTTATTTATTTTTTTTGTGAGACAAAGTCTTGCTATATAGTTCAGGTTTGCATAGGACTAACTATATGACAGACTGGCTGAGATTATGCTACCTCAACTCCTAGGTGCTGAGGTTACAGGCATGCCGCATCACTCCCACCATGGTTGAGTTTTTAAATGTCTCAATAAAATCAGTCTTTATGTTCCAAAATACAGATACATCATCCTACTTTTTTTTCTTTTCTCACCCAAGTAGTAACAGTCTATAGTTTAGTACTAATAGTGGTTTCAAATGGAGAAATAACATGATCATTTTAATGGAGATTTTAGAAATACTAGTTTTATCTTCCATAATTGTTGCAAACTTAAGGAGACCTTGAAAAGCTAAAGCTGGTTCAATGGAGCCAAATCACTTCAGTACTAATGGTACAGAATTTGTGATCTACATAATGATTTAGAGGCATTACAAAATTACCCAGTTTTAGCATGAACTAAACAAAACTTTGGAACAAATTTTATCTGAATGAAATTTGCTATAACAATATATATTTGTCACTGGTTGGGCTAATCAGGGGTGGTGTCAAATCCATTCATTAGGTAATCTGATAAGTATTTGATCTGTTCAGTATTTGATCCAGTCTGAGACTATACTATTTGAAATTTGACCTAATAACTTGCTGACATAATAAACAACAAATCTGATTAACTGATAACCATATCATTGGTGGATCTGGTCATGGAGTCTATTGATCATTGGCCAATCCAACTTGGGGTTCCATCTAATGAGCCATTAATCTAACCAATTAGAAGAGTGTGTTCCTAAGTTCTACATTGTAGGAAAGTTTTCTAAATTCTTTATACAAAGTCAAGTGGCAATGTAGTTAATGAGAAGAAATTCAATAATGACCAACAGCAATATTAATACAAATATGTTTAAAATTATTAATGCATCTAAAACAGTCTCCCTGGGGAATAACTGGTACTTTGCCTTTTTCTGAGTGACAAGATATATTATTAAAAGATGATTCCATTTAGGAAATCTTTTGACCTTATTTATTGAGTTTATAAAGTACCAACACTATAAGAGATATAACAATATAAGAGATATAACAATATAAGAGATATAAGATATAACACTATAAGAGATATAACAATAATGCCTCCAATATTTATTTTTAAGTGGCTATTTTTAGGAATACAGTCCTTTTTTTTTACCATTTTCTCTAGAATTGGATCCAAGAATTTAGATATTTTCATCATGTGATTTCCATTTTCCAAATGCCCATCAATATCAAGGAACATTGAGTTTTAACATGAACTGAATAAAAAATCTGGAACAAGTTTTTTCTGAATGAAATTTTCTAAAACAGTGTACATCTGTCACTGGTTGGTCTAATCAAGAGTGGGGTTGAATCTATTAATTATGTAATCTGATCAGTATTTGATCTGATCAGTATTTGATCCAGTCAGTGGCTAAACTATTTAAAATTTGACCTAACAACTTGCTGACATAATCAGCAACAGATCTGATCAACTGATAACCCTATCAGTGGTGGATCTGGTCATGGAGTCTATTGATTGTCGGCCAGTATAACTTGGGGTTCCATCTAATAAGCCATTAATCTAACCAGCAATTGATTCAATCATTATGTAATCCATTCACACACACACACACACACACACACACACACACACACACACACACTTTCTCTTTCACACACACATATGCATACACACATACATATATCCTATACCTTTGTAAGAGATGAATGTGTTAATTACCTATAGTGCAGTGATCATTTGAATAGTTAGTATATATATCAAACACTGTTGCACACTTTAATTTTGTACAGTACACAATTGCTAATTTATCACCTATCAAATCTATAAGTTGAATAAAAGCACTGAGAAGTACCTTGGTGTAGGTAATAATTTTATTACCCTGCTGTTGCTTAACCATTATATAACTGACTTTCAGTTAAAAGTTGCCATTTTAATAAGCATATATTTACAAATATTTTCTAGGTTAAGTGATATAAGAGAAATAGAATTTTGTTTATATAACATTAAAAACTTCTTTTATGGAAAAATCAGTTTTATACAATATGCATGGCATAATCAGTAGGTGTCATTCCTCCCATGTATCAAGTGTATTAAAGCATATCTCTAATGGTTAATTCTACCAAGAATATCATACAGTCCCATAAATCTGTATAATTTATAAAGTTTGTACAAACTACTATCTATTACCACAACGAAAACATACCATTTCAAAGATGTGGTAACTGAGACTGAAAGACAGGTATTAACAGTGATGACTAAGATCTTTTGTATAGGAATGACACAGTACAGGAATACCATGCAAGACTTGTGGCTTCTGCCATTATGCTAATGATTCTCTCTCTGAAATGAATAACGTAACTTTCTTCTAATCATCTGAATCTATTGCAGTGTAGCAGGATTTCTTACTACCTCTCCTTGTATCATGTATCAATAAACCCATTAGCGGCCAGAGTGTAGGAGACATGCACGCTGACATTGTATAGCATCAATAGATTCTGAGAAGGATATGACTGATTCACAATCACTTTCTCAGAAAGTATTGATTTTAAGCTGTTCTGATATCAACTTTCCATCGAGTAAATGTAAGTTATGCAAACCTTATCAGAGAATCTTTTAAAGTTTAACAGGGAAACAAGTACACCAAAGCATCAGGAACACATTATTACAAAAAGATCTTTAGCAATTTTTAATTCCTCAAGTAGATTTAGATGAGTTTTTAAAACAATGCACCAGTTATTATGTGTATATCTATATCTGTACATCTATATACTATGTATGTGCATCTATATATACTTATGTATATGTCCAATAAAAAGAAAAAATAAACAGATAAATTATGGTAATAAACATAAAATCTTTTTTAATATGGCAAGCAAATAATCCTTTAGGGATAAAATCCAAAGATGTCTTTATAACTTTTAAAATAGACAAGATACCTTAAATGGGCCCTCTGTCAGCTCAGTGGAAATAGTACTAATGTATGAGACTCATGTCCAAGCTGAGCATTAACATGCATAATTAATGTGCTGCATAAAATTATTTCATCATAACCCCAAAGCCTTTGTAAAAGGGGCTATAAAAACTGGCAAGTTCAGTTTCCTACATTGCTGACATCCATCCTCAGAGTTGAAGATTATGTTGCTTCAAAGTTCAGAGAAAATTAAAACAATGTATGTGGAGATGAAAACAAAAATACATGCATGTAATGGGTGAATGTGAGTAATAATGTTAACCTGTGTTATAATATGTAATATTTTAGTTCTAGATCCACTGTTTCCACAGATTGAAACCTCATTCAAAACTGATTATTGTGATTTTTATGTTTCTACAAGGTCAACAAATCAAACACTGGCCCTACTCTATTTTTAACATGAAATTATATAAAACTAATCCCTCCAATTACCCATGTCATATGAAATACCAACAGGCACTTGGAACAAGAGGAGAAGGTTTAGGGATATTGATTTTATTCTAAACCTTTTCCAGAAATAGCGACTCTCAAATTCAAGTTTTTTTTGTTGTTGTTCAAGAAACTAGTCAATTTCTAAGCTTAAAGCAAATTGCCTTTATAGAAGAGCTGTATTATAATGCAAAATTATAATGAATAGAATATGTAGTAGCAGATATTTTTCTCATATTACTAGCATCAAAGCTCAATATAGTGAATTTTTTTCTAGGTACACAGTTCTAGCCATATTATCTTTCATGCAATTCCATAAACCTCTGTTCAACCTACTGTCTATTTGTTTCAAAATTATTTTCAGTAGGACAAGCTTTCAGTTGTCTATATTTTTGTAGCTATTTTCCTTTTGGGGTTGGTTTTCTCATAAAAATTAACATTTCATGTTTAAAGAGAGATATACTTAGGAAGTAACCATTGGTCAATAATTTTATTCAAAAGTGTGTTTCTTTTCAAGAAAGTAGATTCTTCTTGTATTGGAGTATTTGACTAAGTTAAGTTGATGAAAGCCTTTGATCTTATCTCTATTCAGCATCTTTATCAAAGTAAAGGCCTTAGAAAGTAGTATCACTTACTTTGCTTTAGCTTCTGCATCCTCATAAGCTTTATTAGAAACATCATCCAGCCCTCCAATCAGATGCTTGAAAGAGCTGCCAAAGAGAAACACAGAGTTTAGGATGATCCAGCTCAAAGTAGAAACAATGAGAACCTAGTTAATAGATTAATAATTAGTAACAGATTGAAGCAATATAAAAACATCTAATTAAAAAGAATACACAGTATAATACATTATTAAGAAACATCCTGCAGAGTGGTATATTTCCCGGACTAGCATATAAATTTTATATGATCAGTGACCTTTCTAATTCAGATTAATTCTGTAGTTCACAGCACATAATCATATTTGGCAACCACATCTGGCAAAAACACTCAAGGATCTAGTGATAGAACATTTATGATAGAAAAACTCCTATACGGCATCAAGATAATGAGTCATTTCTTTATAATACTGAAATAACAAGACTATCTACCAATTAAAGATGGTGTAGGCATACTGCTTGTCAGATTCTACTAATTTAATTGTCAGTCATTTAACTTAGTGTTAGTTAATTTAATTGGTTTTATCATGCATTCCAATTCTCAAACAAACCATAACAGGCAAATATCATTATCTCCACTTTAAAAAGTTCATCTTCAAAGTAGAATAAACTTAGCATTGAGGAAAATATTTAACAAGAGAGAGATATGAAAAAATCAACTCATTTGGAGTATAAAGTAGGAAGATTCATATAACTGCTTAAACTCAATCCTATTCAATGCCTAAGAAGGTGTTTAGACTTACTTTGGCAGTGAAGTCATATATACTATGCATTTATAATATAAAACATTGAGGCAAAACAACACAAACATACCCATATATGTACTAGAATTACCCTTGACAATTATAAAATACAATTAGGAATGGTAACTCAAACATATAGTATTTGGGGCAATAACATACTGGACTGCATGAATGAACAAAAGCAAAGCTCATAGTTAGAAGCTTAGATTATCACGAGAATCATAATTTTGCTTACACACTGGGTAACTTGCAGTGTGCTTTGTAAGTAATAATAAATATATCAATATAAACATATAAATGACCCTATGAATTAGTAATGTTTTCTAGGTGAGTGCATTGAAACAAGAGAGCTTAAAAACAAACATGGTATCTAGAGCTAGTGTGGGGACTGACTGGAAGTAGACAATCACTCTTCTTTCAAGTCTAAAATCAAATCCAACTTCTTATCCAAATTATAGTGCCTTGAGGATGATTGTAAAATTTCTAGCACTATCTAGTACCTGGATGAGGGTTTTAAAAGACTGCATGAATTTACATTTTAATTTTATACCTCTGTAATTATTTATTTGTTTGGCAGTGCCAGGGATAAAATACAGGGCTTCTTGCATGTTAGACAAGCACTCTGCCACTGAACTCTGCCAACTTTTCTATAATCTTAATCTGAAAATGGCTTTTTGTGTTTTGAACACTAAACAATAAATTATGCATGACAAAATAGTAAAAATACAGCATATCATTTGTGTGATTTAAATTTAATAATTGCTTTCACTTATTTTATTTATTTATTTAGTTTTGATAATCTACAAAGAACATTACATCTGCCTAAGGAGCTGTCTAGAAGGGGATGCAACAGCTGTTATCTCAGACCCTTGAGAAATGATCTCATCTGGGAGGAAGGATGACTAGTTGTGCACTAAACACAAGTATTTCTATATAAAAATTAACCATTGGAAAAGCATTAGGCAAGGGCCAGAGATATCAGACTCTTGGAAAATCTAAGGTTTTCTTTAGAGAATTGTATTAATTTATACAGATTGGCTGAATACTAGACAATAGACCTTATAAAATCTTCAGACTTATTATCAAATATAAATATAAATGGTGAATATAATCCCTGTGGTTGAGAAAATTACAAAAGTATAATTCATGCAATTGTTCTTTAGTTATTTACAAAAATATTTGTGTTTATATTCAATGGCATAGACAGAAAATATAGGATTTCATTACAAAGTAAACATTACCCAAAGGTAAAATTTTGGCCTTTGGAATTGGAACCATATATCATTTGTAATGATTTTTATGTGGAAACCAATGTGAATCAATAGAAATATAACAATTTTGAAAGTCACGGCCTGATAATATTCTAAATCTCTTCAAACAGAAAATCAACTATTATCTTTTAAATCACTTAAAGGAAGTGTGACTTTTCAATAGATACTATAAAGTGTGCAGTTACTACCACTATCTGTATAACAAGAGTTGGTAAGTGAATAATTTCAGTCATCTTGATTGATAATTGAATCAAAATTGAAGGAGTTACAAAATTGATCAGTCAGCACTATCATCAGTGGTGCAGTTTCCTTTCACAGACTTTCTGTGAAAGATGGTGGAAACACCTGCTATCAGTAGACTTTTATCAAACTGACATGTGGAAAAGTATTACTGTAGGTTTCATCTGTCTTTTGAAATATTTACTTATGACATTTTTTCTTTTTACTAATAAAGAAGATGAATTTTGTTGTCACTGTATTCCTCAAATAGATTATAATAGAGTTGATAAAGATTTAAGAATGCCATCGACTGTATGAGTATAATCCTAAGATACAATTTATTAAACACAACAGAAGATACTATGGATATTAACTGAATTATTTTTGTAAACTCACAATCATGTACAATTTCTATTTCAGTCTTGTAAAGTCATATATCTACTTTCACATAAACTCTAGAATTCATTTCAGAATAAATTAAGAAAACATTATTGAGTAAAACAATTAGCCCACCTCAACAGCATACATGAAGGATAAATGGAAGCAGGGAAGGGAGGCAGGAAAAATATGACTACTTTTACATGAAAAATCACTACTCCACATGAAAATTGGTAACATTTATGGAAATTTTCCTTAATAAATATATCAGTTAAAACACTGTTTCTCATTCTAGGAAGTTTTGCCTGTTTTAGAACACAATAGTGACAGTAACTCAGCAGGTAATAATTTCAGTTATTAACATGATTTCATTATGAAACCAAAACATCCTTCCAAATGTAGCTGCTTAGTCAGTGGTAAGTCTAAAAAGTGTATAATTTTCTTCTTTCAGGATATGATGAGACATCATCAAGAGAGAAATGGGCTTTTAAATTACCAGAAGGGTAGTTTAAGTTAACAGAGACTTGCCTTATCATGCTGCTAAAGGAGAACAGCATTTGTCTTATACCTTAAAGCTATGCACATTTTTATTAATAAATCATGTGTGTGCTCAGAAACAGAGATACACAGAAACAGATATGAATTTATTCAGTCTTCATGCACATCTATCTGGCACCATTAGATTTAAAATGTTACCTATTTTTAACTATACTAAAATCTATTTCATTGTGATGGCTTCATATATATGATATGTTTGATCATATTTATCTCAATGTTTATAAATTTTGTGATAGAATTTTAATAACAGTATCTTTTTAAACTCAAGATAGGGTGGGAGGAGAAAATCTCATATATGTTGTTAAAACAGGTTTGTTACCTTGATTATATCCAATCCATATGATATACTATAAAATCTATTCTGCTAACTTAACTAAGTTAAATATTGAAGACAAAAAGAAACAAAGAAAGAATTTTATGCCATGAAGTATTTAAATACTTCCTAGGGCTAACAGAATGTCTGTCAACCCTGGGTATAGTTATCTTAATGTGACAAGTCAAATACATCATTAAACATATGAACTTAAAACTTGGCTAAATTATTTCCCAAACACACACACACACACACACACACACACACTTAAATAGAAAGTTGGAGAAAAACATGTTTTCAAAGATAAAAGGTACTTCCTCACAGAATTCTGAATTTGTAAATATTTTAATTTAAATATTAACTTATAAGGCTTCTGTGTACACACTACCTTGACTAAACATAGTTGAATGAAGACTTTTTTATAAAGTTGAGCTACTTAAAGTATGATGTGTAAACCACTGTTGGTCTATGAAGAAACAAGTAGAAGTATGAAACTCGTTGCAATTGGACATTGTCATGATATCTAATAGCAACATGACTGAGCCTGCATTTTCCCTGTAAGATCAGGTTTCCTTATGTGGCCCAAGTTCTCCCTGAGCTCATCATGTAGCCAATGTAAGCTACAAACTCATGATTCTCCTGCTTCAACCTCCTGAGTTCTGGATTACAGGCAGCAGCACTCCATATCCAACTTAATAGAATTCAGTTTTTCAACCTGATATAGATCTGCTTACTTATTGTCAAACTTGTGAAATAAGAAATATCTGGTAATTTCATGCAATCCCATTTGTCCAACCTTTCTTTTATTTCTTGTGTTTCTGGGTCTCTATTAAGAAAATTTCAAACTGTGCCAAGGAGACCTAGGGTTTCTCCTATTGCATCCTGTAATGTTTTCAGAATGTCTGCTCTGACTCCAAGATCTTTGATCCATTTGGAGTTGATTCTGGTGCAGGGTGATATATAAGGATCTAGCTTTAGTTTTTTTACAAGTGATTAACCAATTTTGCCAGCACCATTTACTGAAGAGGCTGTCTTTCTTCCATTCTATTTTTTTAGCTCCCTTATCAAAGATTAGATGGCTATAGGTCTGTAGGTTCATTTCTGGATTTTCAATTCTGTTCCATTGGTCCTGATGTCTGTTCTTGTGCCAGTACCAAGCTGTTTTGATTACTATGGCTTTGTAGTAGAGTTTGAAATTTGGTATTGATATTCCTCCAGCTCTGTTCTTTCTGTTGAGGATTGTTTTTGCTGTTCGAGGTCTTTTATTGTTCCATATGAATTTTTGGACTGTCTCTTCTATCTCCTTGAAGAATGAGGTTGGAATATTGATAGGTATTGCATTGAATTTGTAGATAGCCTTGGGAAGTATTGCCATTTTCATGATGTTGATCTTTCCAATCCAAGAGCATGGGAGTTTTTGCCACTTTCTAAGTTCTGTTTTGATTTCCTTTTTTAGGTTTTTGAAGTTTCCATCATAGAGGTCCTTCACTTCTTTGGTTAAGTTAATTTCTAGGTATTTTATTTTTTGTGGGGCTATTATAAATGGAGTTGCTTTCCTAATTTCAGACC